ACATTTATCTTTTAAAAGTAGTTTGGAGAGTTGAGGTAGGCAAAGATGGGTCCACAGCTACTTGGGAGGGTGAAACAGAAAAGGAGAATCAAATTGGTTCTTGGCTGAGAGTGGTGGTGCATGCTTATAACCCCAGCAGTCTGGGAGGCTGAGACAGGAGGACTGCAAATTTGAGCCCAGCCAGGGAAATTTATCGATAAATGAGACTCAAGGAAAGATGGTAGTGAGATCCATGAAATTGTATAAAAATCCAAGTGTCAGTATACAGCTGATGCAGGTTACTAGAGTTCATCACTAATCCCTCCCTGTAAGTGGGTTTTCTGAGAAGCTAGTCGTGTCAGCCAGCTACCTGGTGAGCAGGATTCTTTTGAAGTATAATGGTTATCAGGCCACACATCTGTCTCAAGAGGATGGGAAGAACAGAATGTAACCCTTTTTGGTCTGTTGGATTACTTCCTTTCTCCTCTGGGTGTGCATGGGGGATACTTGGGGAGCAGAACTGAACCCAGGTCCTCCACGCCAGCAAGCCCCTTGCCTAAGCTATCCTCCCAGGCCCTTCCCTCTGCAGTCTGTGATGCACACAGCCTCTGTGACTCTCCTTTTGTGTCCCCATTGTTAGCCGAGGCACATCCCTACACTCATTGGATAGCTAAAGACATTTCACATAATGGTGGGCTCCCTGTACTGACTTAGGGCCCATCCTGCTCTGTAAAAGTAAATGTACGTAATTGGCAGGTGGTTAAAATTTTTTTCCGGAGAAAACATTAGTTCTTTTTCCAAAGTTCAGGGGATACTTCTTAACTAGTCAGTTCTACATTAAAGTGAGTTTGAAGATTTCTTGATTCACCTAGGCTTACACTAGGATGAATCTTCTAGTTTCACTCTAGATAACTCCCACAATCAAAAATGTTTCTTTTATCTTTTCTTTGCATCTGTAAGACAAAGTATATCCACTCATACCCAGTAACACACAAAAGATGTCCTTAGATTTACTACATATGGACTTCCACAGATTGAGGTAGAAAGGAGTCAAGGAAAATTATAATTTAAAAAATGTGCTTACATTTAAAAATTCTTTTTTCCATATTTTATTAGTGTATTGTTTAGATATAGATTAATGGATTTCATTTTGGGAGATTTGTACAGGCACATAACATAGTCTAATCATTCTCTCCCACACATCCCCATCCCATCCTTGCCCTAAAATTGTACTTTGAAGAAAATTGTAACTTCCAGACACAATTACTCAAGAGTATCCGTCTTTGTGCTCCATATCTTCCCTCCGTAGCTTATTTTTCTCTTCCAGGCCCTCTGCTCAGATCCCTTAAAGATACTAGAAGTCCATAAATTAACCAAATTCTCAGTTAAGGGCAGTGACCCGACCTTAAAACAGGTTCAGAGGATTCAAAGAATACCTTTAGGCAAACATCTCAGACCATCCGTCTTTTTGGGAGGTGTGTGTGTGCGTGTGTGTGTGTGTGTGTGTGTGTGTGAAGGGGGGAACCGGGAATTGAACTCAAGCCCTTGCACTTGCCAGGCAAGCACTGATTCTACTAAACTATCTCCCCGGCCCCCAGACCATCCCATCCGTCTCACATTGGAAAGAAAATGTGTGTCTCCTCGCGGGAACGCGCTCACCCACGCTCCTCCGCACGGCTGGCTGCCCCAGCTCCTGGCGCTCCTGCACCTCTTTGTGGCCAGTGCCAGGGGCTCCGCGTCCCCGAGCGTCCCGAGCGTCCCGAGCGTCCCGAGCAGGTGACGCGACCGTGCACGGTTACTGTGAGTGGAGGACCCGTGCAGGGCAGAAGCTGCCGGCCGGTCCACGAGCGGGTTTTCTGTCTCTTCTAGAACTGCTTACAAGGTGATAAGAACGATGAGGCAAACATGTTCGAAGACAGGGGGAGGATTTTGAAGGTTTATAGCAATGTGCTTTTTTACTGTAATATAATTTTGAAAGTTTAATTCACCATATTTTTCGATCGTCCCGCATATATGTTCCCCAACTACAGACCACAGCGTGCTTGTCTTCCAGATCCTGAACGCCGTTTTCCCGGGGGGGTGCTTAATCCTGTGCCCGTCCCTGGGAGCGTCCTACAGTTCTTTTCTGTGACCCCAGTCTGCAAGCCTCCAACCCACCCAGCAGGGATGGGAGGCGAAGACTTCCTTCACACACTGAGAACCATGTCGCGCGGTCCCCGCTCTCCGAAGCCTGGGCCCGGTGGGCGGGACATCCAGTGACGAACGGGCCACGCCCAGTGACGGGTGGGGGAGAGGGCGGGGCAGAGCCTGGAGGGGCGGGACTGAGGTACGAAAGGGGCGGGGCATAACCTGGTGGGCGTGGCAGGACTCAGAGCCGGGAGAGGCGGGACTGAGGCGGGGTGGGGTGGAGAGGGCGGGGCGGAGCCTGGTGGGCGGGTCCGGGGCGGGGCAGAGCCGGGTGGGTTGGGGTGCGGGCGCCCTCTGGGCGGAAGACTCTACCTGAGCCCCCGCGGTGCGCAGCTGAGCTGACAGCCTACCTGCGGGAGCTTCTGACCCGTGGAGGACCTTGCACTTTCAGGCTCGTCCCTGCTGTCCGGGGGCACTGATAGGCAGGGCATGACGGAGACGTCTATTTACTCCGAAGTCTTCCACAAGCCCCTGGTGCTCAGTCCCCGCGACGTGCACACCGAGCTGCGGCAGTCCCGGGAGGAGGCAGAGATTGAGGAGGTCCGCGAACCAGTTGAGGGCTGCAGGCGCGCCGAGGGACCGCAGTCGGAGCAATCCCCCAACCCCCACAGACCCCGGGAGCCCAGCGGGCCCTACACCCGCGTACAGGCCCGCGAACGTGATGCACCGGACCAGCCCAGTGAGTCCCAGGCATCTCACAAGCCCCGAGGGCCGCACGCGCCCAAGCTCTGCAGGGCCCAGCAGCCCCGGGAGCCCCGCAAGGCCGCCCAAGCCAAGCTGCTTCCCAGCACCGCCGCGGTGATCCATCCATCTCTGATCGCCAGGTGCCCGCCCGGCCTTCAGCTGTCTGTTCTAAGCGGTAGGTGTCCCCCTCCCCAGATGCCCACCCAGCCAGAGCTGAACGTCCCCAGGGGGTCTGCACGCTGCAGCTTGCGGTGGTCTCACTCGTGTTATCCACGTGGACGCCACCGGAAACTGATCTTGATAATGGTGGATTCAGTCTACTTCCTTGGCAGCCAACCTGTGACCCCTATCTGTGATGACCTGCACCCCCTGGGCTGTGCTTTCCCCATTGCATTTCAGCTTTGTGTTACATAATTTCTGCTGTTTTCTGAAGGGAAGGTATTTTGTCAGTGGCATATAGTCCCTTAGAAAAACAAAACACTGCTGAAGCAAGTGTTCAGAGTGTACCTGAGTGCTATCTACTCAGTCTTCACCAAACTCACAAGATGACAAGGAGGTCAGGCTTGTAGGGCACACCTGTAATCCCAGCATTTAGCAAGCTCAGATGGGAGAATCACTGAGAGTTGCGGACTCTGTAGTCAGTTCAAGGCCAGCCTGAGCTACATAGAGAGATCCTTTCTCAAACAAAAACAAAAACAAAAACAAAAAAGCAAAAGAAAAACACAAAACCAAAACAAATTTCAATGACATTGGCTCACTGATGCCCCAACCCAGAACAATCCTTTGTTCATACTGGACATCCACGCTGACCGATTTTTATCACATGTGCTCCTTTGCTTCTTTGTGCCCAACCTCAGTTTTGTGTTTTATCATTACAATTGCTCCCACACAACATCTGCCACTCCAAGGGCTCTCACTAGCCACCATACTGCTGATACAGTCCCTACTATCCTTCAGCGCAGCAGCCCATCTACCCTCTTCCCAGCCCGTGTCTCCCTGGCCTTCCTTTCCCTTCAGTCTTTCCATTTTTCCATTCTCCTTCACTGCAGAACTTGTTGGAAAAGCTATCCAATTCCTCACCTCCATTCCCTCCTCAACTCACCTGGAGAAACGGCTCTAGTTTCTTTCCTTTCCACCAGCACCCCGGCCTTGTGCGCAAAGCTGCACATTACCCATGAATAATCTACTTGGCTTCTCAGTTCTTTGATGTCCTCACTTGGAAGGATCTTGCCTTTCAGCCCCCCTTTGGCAGCCACTACCTCTAGCCATCAACTGCTAGGCCTTTCTAGCATCTATTTCTAACATTCAATCTCTAACCATGTCCTGTCTTTCCAGCTCACTCTTCTTCTGTGTCCCATTTTCCCAAAAGTTCAGCTTCAAAGGACCTTTAATCCATTGATCCTGGTATTCATTACATTCCATGTCCCCCTCTCTCTTACTCACCTTATCTTCCTTGGTCTGCCAGTACAGCACACACTTGCAGAACTCCTTAGCTCCCTCACCTACCTCCGTCATTCTTATCTGGTTAGATCCTGCCCTTATCTGAACCTGAAAAACAGATAAATGATCCAAGAAACAGAACAGGAGGCTCATCAGAAGCTGAGGCCAGCCTGTGCTACATAGAGAGCTCAAGGCTAGCCTGGACTACATGGCAAGACTTTCAAAAACAAACAAAATCAGATAAATCAGATAAATGATACAAGGACAGGAACAACCATGTGGACTGGCCTTTAAATTTTACTACCTTGCACTTCCTCAAGGCTCTTGGTGGCTGCATGGCAATCACGTATTTCCTCCAATCAGTTCATTTCCAAATGAACCAGAAGCTGTGGGTAGTGCTCACATCTCTCAAAATCCCTTCCTTTTTGAGTCTTACCTGACAACTCCACATTTTTTCCTCACTGGGAATAGAAGAAATCACAAAAGATTTTCATATCTAACTTGGAATCTACCAATCTACCAGCACTTGTACATAAATATAAAAATACTGTATTTTTTCCCCTGTTGATAGAGGGTGAACTCTCCTTAATTTTATTAAAGGTAACTTCCTCAGTTCCTATATTGGATCCCATCCTATGGAATGGAAGTTCTTTGCTCCTATAATTAGCCTCTTCCTTTCCCTCATTGAGTTCTCTCTCCTGGATCAATTCCATCAGCACACACACTTGCACAAAAACTCCTCTCTGAAACTCTTTTAGATTATTTTGCTGAGTTAACACACTTATAATATTCAAATAACGGAACTTAACAAAAAAAGGGGATACAGATGATGTCCATTTTGTATCTGTGTATTCAAAGTGGTTAGGATAGATATATAGTTACATTCTCTTAATGAATAGAGTGATTTGTTCTAATGGTGTTTGTAAATAGGATATCATGTCCGCATCTTGTACAGCAATTAACCACTTGAAGGAATGTATGCAATGTGTTAATTATTGAAACTGTCCTACCAATGTGATTTGAAACTGTCTCATTGCTATTTGTTTATCAATAAAATTATGGGAAAAAAACCTCCTCTCTGAAAAAACAAACACAGCCCTTCTTTAACTCATGTGCCCTTTCAGATATTACCATATCTTTTTACTTTTTTGTTTTTTAAGATAAGGTTTTGCTGTATAGTTTGGGCTGGCCTTGAACTAACTATGTAGCCCAGGCTGGCCTTGAAATCATGGCAATTTTCCTGCCTCAGCCTCCTCCTGAGTGCTGGGATTATAGGTGTACAGCACGAGGCTGGCTTTCTCTCTAAAGGACAATGTTCTCAAAATAGTTGTCTATAGTCACTATCTGTAGGTCCTCTTTTCTCATTGTCTTGAGACCTGCCTAGCTTGTTTTTGTCCCTTCTCGTAGCTGAAATTGCTCATTGTGAGGTCACAATGACCTCTACCTTTAGCAAATTCAAAGGTTCTTTGACCAAGTCATACTCATTTATCACATTTACTCCTAAAAAGTCTGTTTTTTCGGTTACTGATACCTCTAGTCTCTTACCTTGTGGATCATGCCTGACATACTGCCCCTTGCTGGCTTTTCCTCTGAATAGCCTTTAGATGGAAGTGACTGATGACACAGCCTTCTTAGATTCTTCTAGAACTTTCCTCATTCTCTGGATGATGTCATCCATTCCATGGCCTTAGTTATATGCTGGTAACTTTCCAAATTATCTCTAGCCTTAACTTCTCTCCTGAATGCCAGAGATTTCTAACCAATTACCTATGTAGCTTCCATGCTTGGATGCCAGGCATATAGAGTTTCATGTGGCTGAAACTGATACCCATTTTTCTCCTGCCTCCAAACCATTAGCAGATCCTAACTGTGAGCTGTATCCATTTGTTTGCATTTCAGATGCCATAATCTTTGTAAGCCACTGCTATCTGTTGTTGAGTCCCCTGTGACAGTCTCCTGCTAATCCTAACCCCAAAGTCCTCGGCAGGCCTACAAGGCTCCTCCTGTTCTCTCACCTGTTTCTGACCTGACCTTGAACTGGCTCTGACATGGCCCTCACCTCATGCCCCCCCACTCTTCTCAGTTTCTGCCTTCCAGCCACACAACACCCTGCTACTACCCCAGGATTGTGCCACTCACTCTGTCTTCTACCAGCCCTCTTCCTTCAGTACTTGTTACCTCCTTATACCAAAAAGAACACTTTCAGGCCTGTTCATTTTCTTTAAACATATATCTGATATGACTGTGTTATGTATTTGTTTGGTGGTTTTTATTAATCTTTCATGGATGTAATATAGGACTTGATGTAATGAATAAAGAACTTTTCCTCTTCCTTTTTTCCTTCCTTCCTTTCTCTCTTTTTTTTTTTTTTTTTTTGGTACTGGGATCGAACTCACAACCTTGTGCTTGCCAGACAGGTGCTTGTTCTACTGAGCTATCTCCCCAGCCCCTCTCTGTCTTTCTTTTATTCTTTCTGTCACTGTCTCTGTGGTTTTATTTATTTATCATATCTTTTTGAGACAAGGTCTTGTTATGTAGCCCAGGCTGGCCTGGAACTCACAGTAATCCTCCTGCTTCAGCCCC